TATATATATATATAATAAATAGAGGATAGATGATTGCATATAAATTTAAGCTCAAATATTAACCTCAGCCTTGTCGATAATACATTGATGTGACTTCAAAGTTTGTTTGAAATTTTTTAAAAATTATGATTTTTTTTTTAATGGGGTTAGAACATCGTTTGTATACAAATCATGTGAATGTTAATAAATGACATGACCCAAAAATTAATTCAAGACTGGACAAGAAATTTTATTTCTACCGATTGAATAAATTGGTCGGGTTCATGTTTGATTTCTCGACAGATTTTATTATTGAGTCAGGTTTGGGTCAACCCGATAACATGAAATTGGCTTGTTTTTTACTGGTATTGATGGAACTTTTATTTGGTCCGGTGAACAGATGTAGAGCTACGTTCGGCCGGCACTGAGATCGCGTAACGTAGCATGCACAAAACCACGTATTTGTCGATTTTGCTCGGCAATAACGAGAAATACCATCATGTGAAGATAAATATCGAGCAATACCGAGTAATACAGAGCAATACCGAGTTTTTTTAGAAACACTCGGTATTACTCGGTATTGCTCTTCACAGAGCGGTATTTCTCGTTATTGCCAAGCAATACCTAGCAATACCGAGCAAATACTGAGCAAATACCGAGTAACTCAGTGATGACCGTACGTAGAGCTACGTCCGGTCACCGGACGTAATAATTGTTCGTATTGATAGGTGTGCTTTATGTAGCATCAAAATTGTCTGTATAAGTAGAAATATTTATTTGATATAATGTTGCATATTAAAACCTCCTTGATTAAGATTTGTTATTTGGTATTATTGCAAAGAGTGGAGTGATATTTATATTTTCATATTTTTTGCACTATCCACTTTACCTCAAATCAATTTTTTAATATGAGCAGGTTAACGAGTCAGGACATATCAAATGAGTTGTTGGCAGACTGAGTTTGGGTCTAGATTTATAATTTATTTATTAAATAGGTCAGGTTCGAGTCGAATGGGTTCAAAGGCTATTAGTTCCAAACTTGATCTAAACTCAACCCGTTAACTCATTTTGGCCGTATAAATAGAAATATTTATTTGATATAATGTTGAATATTAAAACCTTCATGATTAAGATTTATTATGTGGTATTGTTGCAAAGAGTGGAGTGATATTTCCACATTTTTTGAACTACCTACTTTACTTCAAATCATTTTTTTCATAGGAGCGGGTTAACGAATCAGGTTAGATCAAATGAGTAGTTAGCTACTCGAGCTCGTATCTAGGGTTTTAATTTATTTACTAAACGGGTTAGGTTCGAGTCAAATGAGTTCAAAGGCTATTAGTTCCGAATTGGACTTGAACCCAACCCGTTAACTCGTTATGACAATCCTAACAAATCATAATTTTTATGAATGAGATTAGTCCATAATTGTTAGCATGAGAGAATTGAAGAATAAGACGATGAAGAAAACCGAAGTGCAACTCCTTATCCTTATCCTTTGTTAAACTAAAGCATTATTATAGCTTCGATTCATCGTCGCTTTTATTTTGCTTGCGTATATTATGTGTTTGAGTTTTCCTTTATTAGCCTAAATGTCCCAAAAAAAAAAAAACCCTTACTCCAATGCAATTTTCTCAAATTCCTATTTTTAAAGGGTGCTGTTCTCATGTATTTATTTTTAATCATGAAAGTGATTATCAAACAATGGTAGATATTTATGTGCCCCATTATTAATATTTTATTAAAAAAAATAAGTTTAATTTAATTTAAATGTTATGTTCTATTCTTACTTTGTAAGAATCATTATATTTATTAATATCTTAATTAAGATTATAATAAATGAACCATTTGAGAATAAAAAAGATAAGAATATAAGGAATATTGATAGAATTTATTGGATTACTATTCAACGGCACTGGTTCATTTGGACAACAAATTAATTACAAAATAAAAGGAATGAAAATATAACTTAATAGACTAAAATAGAATGACTAAACACTAAGTGAAATAAAATTAGTGAAAAAAAGTAAAAATGAATATATATATATATAAAATTAATTTTTAATATTCTCACGACTTTTTATACAATACATACAAATTTTTTTATTTTTTACTTGATTTTGAACTCTTAGAATTTTTATATTCTTCAAAATTCAAAGATATTGACTTAGGGGCTGTTTGATTAGCTAAAAAAAGAATGCAATATAAAAAAATACTTTGATGTTGTTTGAATGAGTGTAAAGTAAATTCAGGTGAATGTTTTTCTTTTTTTTGAAGTTAAATGAATATAGTGTTTTAAAGATAATGGCGACCGAGGGGTGACTAGTGGTAGAGGGTGGCGACTATGACGGTCGCTGCAATAGGCGACAACGGTGGCTAGAGGGTGGTAGGGCTACAACTGCGGGGCTGTTGGCCGAAGGAGGTAGTGGCTTGCAACCGACGCTGATGGTCAGCAGCCGATTGCGTTGGAGGTAGTAGGTGGCGGGTGGCAGTGGTCGTCGACGGTGGAGGTGGCGGCGGTGGGTTGCAGTGCCCGTCAATGGTGGCTAGAGGTGGTGGCTGGAGGCGGGTGGAGGTGACTGGCGGTGGTGGTTAATGGTGGTCAAGCAAGTTTGTTTGTAGTGTAAATCATTCTATTTCATAACTGGAGTAAGTTTGATTTACCTAAAAAATTAAGCAGGATGATTTATACGACATTTACTTTGCATTCCTCTTTCATCCAATCAAACACCAAAAAGTTCAGAAATCCTACATATATATATATAAAGAACTGTACACAACTCTAAAAAAAAAATCCCTTCATCCCATTAAAAAAAAAGGACTTGATTGATCCTTTTTGGTCTATGTGGGGCACAAAAAGTCTATACAAAACAACAACATCATCATCAATCATTTATCCCACTACTACGTAGAGTCGACTATATGAATCATTTTTCTCAATTATGTCTTGTTAATAGTCAAATTCTCATTTAAATCTAATAAGTCTAATATTTTCTAACCAAGTCTTATTGGTCTACCTCTATCTTTCCTAACACAGGCTAAAACTAATACATTTACTCTACTAATCGGATCATCGGAAGGCCAACATTTTGTATCCAAACCATATGAGATGACTCTCTCTAATCATATCTGCCACTGATAATACCCCAACCTATATATATATACTTGTTTTGTATTTTGTCTCTAAGTGTGAAACCACTCATCCACCTAAGCATCCTCATCTTTGTAACACTTAACTTACTTTTATACTTCTCTTTTAATGGCCAACATTTTGCACCATAAAACATTGCAGGTCTCACCACCATCTTATAGATTATTCCCTTATGTTTGAGAGATACTTTTCTATCACAAAACAGGCTTGATACATTCCTCAACTTCAACCACCCAACTTGAATTCTACTAATAATATCACCGTCTATTTCACAATCAGTTTGAACAATATATCAGAGATATCTAAAATGTGTACTCTTATTAATAACATGATTCCCCCAAGTCACAATCCTTACCCTAGATCTAATACTACTAAAATCACACTCAGAATATTCAATTTATATCTACTCAAATTAAAATCTTTGGACTCTAAGATTGACCTTCATAATTCATGTTTTCCTTCAACTCCCTCACTAGTCTTATCAATAGGAAGAATATCATCAACAAAAAACATAAACTATGGTACATCCTTTTGCAAATGTCTAGTAAAAATATCCATGACTAAAGCAAAAGGATATGAGCTTAAAGCTGATCCTTGATGTAATCCAATTGAAATAAAAAAAATATTGGTCAAAACACATTGAGTTTGAACATAAGTGACAACTCTAGCATACATATCCTTAATAATTTGAATATAAGCATTATTAATTATTTTCTTTTCTAGAACCCTCTAAAGCAGTTCTCTAGAAACTTTATCATATACTTCTCTAAATCAATAAATATCATATGTATATCCTCCTTATTCTCTCTATAC